ACACACCCACCACCACCACCACCACCATATTTAGGTACACATTTACAAAACGTATGAGAATAGATAACTGTGCCTCAATATTTTGTATGGGAGTTTCCTGGACCTGAGAGCCAATGTAATCGTGTGTATGTTTTTACTGTAGTCCACTCTCAGGTCCAGGGGGGAGAGCCCCTAGCATGGGGACCTGCATATAAGGCCAGTTGTGGCTGCCAATAAACGTATTCCAGCTTGTACTCCCAGTACTATGTGTCATCCGGTTACTGGGAAAGGAAAGGGCTAATCACTGTTCCAGCTTGTTCCAACTTGTTCCAGCGTGGAGGATTCAGCGGGGAAAATCCTTGTTAGAACTAGAGCTCCCAGGATTGAGTGTCATCCAGTGCCTTGAGGTGTCTAGAGCGAATTCCCCATTCGGCTCTAGGATGGAGTGGTTCCAGGACCTCAGTCAAGCCACGTGACTGTGGGCAGAACTGCTGCGCTTTGTCCCCTGTTCCAGCTAGGAAGCGGTCCTGGTGGAGGTACCCAGCCGGGGTACAGGGAGCTAAGTTACAGTATATTTTGGGGAATGTAGATTCCCAAGATGGTAGGAGAATGTTAAATTATATGGGATCATAAGGTCCACTATGAAGACAGTTACCTATCTAAAAATAGACACCCAAATGTCTAAGGCAATTACCAGAGGCTACTGTCACCTTGATCTAGGCCATGATTCTTCCAAAACACCATCACTACTTTTTGCTCCTTTCCTTTATTTTCTTTTCAAGACAACTGCACATATTAGATACCTGTGTGGTATGCGAGAGGGAACATGAAAATGACAAAGTCCCTATGTACAATGCAGAGAATCCTAAGAGCTCTAAATGAGAATACGGTTTCATAGCCAGGTTAGTACCAGAACGTGAGCTCTGGTAAATAATTATATTCTACTATATTTCAATTTCTATTGTAATGAGAAAAAAGCAATGATATATAATTGGTAATAGTGATTTTGTTTTTGTTATGGATGACCCTTGCAAATCACACATACACACCATTCAAATAACTGCAAATTAAATAAATTCGGTTTGGGGTTTTTGCAAAAATGTTTATTTTATAATATAACAAGAATAAATTAAATAGTGTCAGTCCAAAGCAATAATAACATTTTACAATATAAATATACATCAATACTGGCTGGGTTGTAAGAATACGTATAATGCAGATAAAATGTACTCTACATATACATACACATCTTTTATATATATATATATACACACATGTACTTATTTTAGTTAGATAAGATATGTAACTTTATTATTTTATTCACAAAACTGCAACTGTCTAGATGTAACAAAAAAATTGCAAATTTTAGACAAAATTTAAAAATGGATCAGAAAAATTCTCCATTTCAGTAATTTACAGCTAAAATTTGAATTTCTCTCTTCAATTCTCAACAGTTAGCAGTTTAATGAGTACACTATTGCCATAAATAAATAGATTCTTAAGGATTTTGCAATACTAATACATGATATTTAAACACTTTCTATCCAAAGATTATTAAATAAAATAAATAGTGTAAACTATGCCTTTGATTTAATATTCTTGGATAAGCTTTTCAACTGATTTAATATCTTTGGATAAAGTTTTAAAATTATTTTTTGTCAAAATATATAAAAAATATATAAATATGCCAAAAAGTATGTCAGAATATTAAAATACTACTGTATTTTTCAAAATATTAAATCATTTTAATAGCTTTTACAAAAATATTAAATTGAGGCTTATATATTGCAAATTCTCAGTTATGTGAGTCCCAGCCCCACTGAACATTCAAGTGATTCGTCAATTAAACCTTGGTTGGAATGTTCCTAAACATGGCTAGGTTTCTGTATAGTTACCGCCAGTCTAGCCTTGTTTTTCTAGGAAGTTTCCGCATCTTTAAAATAATACAATAAATCAGAGTGCAGGAGATTCACATTGATTCTATAGGCTGAATTCACTCACACTTGGAAATCAGTTTAAAGATTTGTGATATTCACTGTAACGGCTAGACGGCTAATAACTAAGCTCAGTAAACAAATCTAGGGAAAAAAGCAGCCTTAAACATGTCAATTATAGCTGCAACCAGCAACACTTTATAAGATAATCAGTACAAATCACAAAGAAGACATGCCAAGGTCTATAAGACGTGAGACTGAGAATCTCCTGGGTACATTTTTAATGTATTTACTCTCCGCAGCGCATGGGGTGGAGAAAGAAAAGAGCCCACTAGACCTATATTGCTTTTTTCTGAGCGTTCCGGAGGTTCTCACTTTTTTGCAATTTATTTTTTATATTGTATGGTAGTCAGTCATCTCAGTCTGACTGTATGCCAATCCTGTAGATTATATAACTATTATATTGTATTTTCAGTGCTACAGGGAAAGATCACTGCATATAAAGAGTTATTTTTACTTGTGTACTTTTCTAGGGAGACCAGGTGTAGCTCCAGAAAAATTACCTTTATGTGCCCTTGAAACCTCAGTGCCATTTGTGAATACAGAATGACATTGTGGTTCCTCTAGTTTACTACGGAGATTCCTCCAGTGAGAAGTGTTTAATAATAGGCATAACAGCAGAGTTACACCTGCTAGTAAATAGCATTTTTAGAGTAACTTTGCTGCCATGCCAGTTTAAATCCCAACATCGCTTAGTGAATCAATGTGGATTATTTGTGGCTCTGTCCAGATTGTTGTGCTCTTTGATGAAGTTTGTAGTTCTCTGACTGGCTTGATAGTCGTCTAATGTTTGGTCTTGACTGGATTCCATGCTCAGGGTCTCGGACCATGGAGAGACGTGTAGGGTTCCACCACCTTGAATGTGTAAAGTAGGCAGGATAACTCTCTACAGTGTAGGTGGCAGAGGTCCTTGCACAGGCCAAGAACTGGAGGGGAAAGACATTAGGAGAAAAGTGTTAGGGAAACTCACTGACAGTTAATGTTGCGGCGGATGAACTATATAGAAAATGGTGTCCAGACTTCTTAGTATGACTTTTAAGACATGAGAAATATCTAGGATATAATTTTAGCTGCCCATCAAACATATTGTTATTGGAAAGAATGTGTTATTTGTTAATGTGTTAATAAGGTAATTTAATATAGAGATAGTGTTACTGAAATAAATGCCGTGGACATATTAAAGTTTCGAAAAATGAATTGGGTAATGCTTAGCACAAGTTATTAATGATTAAAGTCATAATTAACATTTGTCAGTTGAACATAAATCAGTGGTTATGGGTTGCTGTTATTGGCTTCAGCAATTTCGGTTCAGAAATATTTAATACAGTCATTTATTTAAGACAAATACTTACTCCAAACAGCAATCCCAAGATTAAGGCAACACCCAGAATTGCTACTAATCCCATCAAGATAATACCCCAGTATGGAACTGTAAAAAAGCAGAAATGATTATTACAAAAGTAAGCCCATAATCATATAGTGTATCTGTGAATGTACCTGCCAGTTCAGAGCTGGCCCTTCTCCTGACTTGTCCCACCCACATATATTTTGAGGGTTTTTTTAAACTCCACTTCCAGTTTATGATTTCCAAAACAAGTGTTGGCCCTCAAAAGCCAGAGGTAATGAGTCATACTCAGTCTGCCGCTGAACGAATTAGATACAGTATTACCCTGAGTAGCTGTGTTTTACTGCTGATGGGGATTATCCATATACTGAACACATTGTACAGAAACACTGTCTATATGTCATTGATAATGGATACACTTTGTACATTGATATTTTATATCTCACCTGCAAGTTGGTCAGAAGTGGTTTCGGTAGTGCTCTGGGTCGTGGCACTGTTCCCTCCAGCGGAGGCTGCAGATAGAATTATTATATGTGAGACTGCATATATATCACACAACATATTGGTCATATTCACTAAAATGGAAACTGTGGAGAATTGGTTCTAGATTCTTCCCATTTCAGCCAAGTGACTAATAATTTGTCATTGAGAATTGCCAGTATAACCTTGATAGTGAAGATTCCAACAGTTTATTCTACATTTAGGCCTTTACCGTACATTGCTCTGTATGCCTCAGCTCCAGGCATGTAAAGATTACTGCGAGGGTTAGTAACTACTAAGTATTGTTGGGAAAGTGAAATTTTAGTTGATGAGCAAAATAGTCAAACTCGAAAACCAGCTCCAAGTTTAGCTTCCAGTCCAGTTATTTGGCCTTCAATTGAAATAACCATGTATAGCGAATAACCCTGTATAGCGAATAAAAGGGTATAGCGAATAACCCTGTATAGCGAATAATCCTGTATAGTGGCTAATCCTGTATAGTGAATAACCGGGTATAGAGAATAACCCTGTATAGCGAATAATCCTGTATAGCAAATAACCGGGTATAGAGAATAACCCTGTATAGAGAATAACCGTATATAGAGAATAACCCTGTGTAGGGAATAACCCTGTATAGTGAATAACCCTGTATAGTGAATAACTGGGTATAGTGATTAACCTTGTATAATGAATAACCCTGTATAGCGAACAATCCTGTATAACGAATAACCGGGTATAGCGAATAACCGGGTATAGCAGATAACCCTGTATAGAGAATAACCATATATAGTGAATAACCGGGTATAACAAATAATCCTGTATAGCAAATAACTAGGTATAGTGACTAACCCTGTATAGCGAAAAACCCTGTACAGCAAATAATCCTATACAGCGAATAATCCTGTATACGAATAACTGGGTATAGTGAATAACCAGGTATAGCAGATAACCCTGTATAGCGAATAATCCTGTATAGTGAATTATTATTATTATTATGCCATTTATATAGCGCCATCAAATTCCGCAGCGCTTTACAAGGGGTGGACGAACAGACATGTAGCTGTAACCAGATAAGTTGGACACACAGGAACAGAGGGGTTGAGGGCCCTGCTCAATGAGCTTACATGCTAGAGGGAGTGGGGTAAAATGACACAAAAAGGTAAGGATAGTATTAGACTAGTGACAGTTGCAGAAGAGGTGTCAGTCGGGAGCTAGTAACAGTTTAATTGATACGCTTTTATGAAGATGTGGGTTTTTAAAGTTTTTTTGAAGGAGTGGAGACTGGGTGAGC